CCTAATCTAGTCTTGAGTCAAAGAGATCTTGTGAGAAAGTCTTAATAAATGAGAGGGAAAATTTTGGGGTACAACAGCTGCCAAGTCCAAGTCTGTTGTACTATTCACATAACAGCCCAAAACCATGTCAAAAAAAGACCCTCGATAAAAAAAGATTGTAGTCCCTCGATGAACCTTCGACGTTTCCTTTGGTAAAACGATCTTAGTCCCTACAAAAATTGCTAAAGTGTCTCATAAGTTGCCTTCTATGACTATACGACGACCCACGCCCATCCCTTCACATCTAAAGATAGGGCTTATGATCAATCAATGGTAAGGTAAAAATATCTAAAGGAGGAGGAAAATAATAAATACCTTTTGAGTAGGTAGTACGCTCGTAGTTTCTTGCTCACAAACTAAAACCATCTCCACACTCACACTTTCAAAACATCTTCAAAAACAAACATCTCTTTGAACTATTTTCAAAACCAACATTTTGTATACATTCTTATAGAGACGAGAATCATTACAATGTTTGCCGAAACAAAGGCGTTTTCAAAATATTTTCAAACTTACACCAATCACAAACACATTTAAAACAAAGAATTTTCAAAGTGATCGAGCAACTAAGAGCCCGTAGATAACTACGGATGAAAAGGGTGCTAACACCTTCCCTTTTCATAACCTACCCCCCGAATTCAAGAAAATATCTCAAATGGTTTTTCCTGTTCTTTTCACCTTTTCTTTATTGGATAAAACAAAATTCGACAGCGACTCTTGCTATCCGCAACAATTGCGATAAAACACAAAACACCCAAGTCAATTTTCCCTCCATATTCTAGAACTAGCGACTCTGCTGGGGAAAGAATTAAAAGTGGGGTTACCTTAGAGCTAGATCACCTTTATAATTCTTTCCTTGTTTAACTTGCTTGCTTTACATTTTTGGATCATTGTTTGGGTTTGTTTTGATCCTCTACCCGGATCTGGGAACACCATTAGGTAAGTAGCAATAGATTGTGGAAATTGTGCGGGGTATACTGACATGATTGAAGCGACGGCTACGTTAGTGTGACACATTTGTTGGTACCGGTAGCCCTTATGTCTAGTCAAGGAGAATATGGGGCCGTTGTATGGTGTCATGAAGCACTAACTGACCTTAGAACCTTTAGTTGAACAACTTGGCCATTAGGAAGTAGTGAGGTAGCCGGATTTGGTGCAGTCCAAAGTTGGTTGGTACTCGATGTTATGCTCATTGAGATTGGACTTTTGGGATATTTCGGTCGCTAATAAAGAGGCTTGCGCTGAAATAATGCCTGATGAAGAAAGATAAATGATATTGAGATCCCCTAGAACCCGATTACTTTCTAGGACAGGTTGAACCGAATAAACTTCAAGAGGGTACTTACCTTTGAACCTCATGCAAGCCTAAACCTAAGGACTTTTTTATTTGCTTGTGTATGTTTACTTGTACATAACATCATGACATCATATCATAGCATTTTCAATAACCATTTCAATGATCTCAAGGGTTTGTGATGCAGGGTTATATTGAACCAGGAGTATATCAAGGGGCAAGAGGATTTATTTTCCTCTAGCCAAATGTTGTCAAAAAACCAAAGCACAATAGCTTGAGTCAAGGGCTATGACCCACTTGACATGGTGAGCTTGATTCTCGTGGAAAGACATTCAACGATACGGAGTTCTTCACTCAAAGTTATGATCAAATTTCAAATTCTAACACTCTCTTGTGTTTATCCCGTGAGATCCTTGAAAACATTGCATATGCATAACATGCATCATACCATAAGAAGGTTTCCCGACACAGGTTTCCTCATCTCTTTACTGTTATTTCAGTATAAGGTGGCTCTAGAACAAACCGTCAAGGACCTGCAGGCTCAACACGCTCAGTTCCAAGAGACCCTCCTCAACTTGGATAAGGGATAACAAGAAATGATGGCACTCCTTGCCACCAAAAAAAATACTAAGAAGAGGGATGTCATCCTCAACATAGGAAGAAGGTTCAAGGGGCCTTCCCGACTAGCTCAAATAGAAGATGCTTCTTCTGAGGAAGAAGAAAATCAAGAAGAGGAAGATAGAATCACTAGATCTAGGGGTGGAGGTAACCAAGATATTAAGGACGAAGAATATTGTGAGGAGCAGTATCCACCGGCAGATAAAAAATACAAACAACTTAAAGACCGACTAAAAGTTGTAGAGATCCAAGCTGCAACTGGCTTGGACTTTGGAGACTTGGGTTTGGTACCTGGGGTAGTAATTACCCAAAAATTCAAGATCCCTACTTTTGCAGGTCTCCTATCTGAAGCTTCATCTAAGATCCTATGTCTGTAAGATTCAGCCGCACACCGCTGATAGGAAACTATGGGTGCATTTTTCCAAGAGAGCCTATCTGGGACACAGTTGGAGTGGTTTTACCAATTAGAAGGTACCAATATCCACACTTGGGAGGATCTAGTTGTTGCTTTCTACAAGAAGTACCGATACAACGTTGATCTTGCACCAACTCGTGTGCAGTTGCAGAATATGACCATGGGTTCAAATGAGGGCTTCAAAGAATATGCCCAAAAGTGGAGAGACCTGGCTGGCAGGGTGTAGCCATCCTTAACTGACAGGGAGCTGGTTGATATCTTTATGGGAACTTTGACAAGACCTTTCTTCAATCACCTAATTGGAAGCTCTTCGGCCGAATTCACCGAGCTGATTCTAACCAGGGAACGAGTTGAAAATGGAATCAGAAGTGGAAAGATCCAAATGACTGCATTTTATGATACTCATAAGAAGCCATACAATGGGAAGAAAGAGTCTAATGATGTGTATGGCCAGAAAGGTCATAACAAGAGTAACCACGACCAATCTGTGGGGGCAGTCCTGATCTCTAATCCTGCATCAGGGCGACAACAACAACAACATGGAAATCAGCGAAGGGGAGACGAGCCCAAGAGACAGTTTACCAAAATCCACATACCATTGTCTCAGGAATTGTAACACATGTTGAGGATGAATCTGATTACATTTATAGGACCTCATCCAAACCCCAAAACTTTTTCTCCTAACTACAATCCTGATGCAATATGTGCCTATCATTTTGGCAGTCCTGGGCATGATACCAATGATTGTTGGACGCTGAAATATAAGATTCAAAACATGATTGACACCAAGGAGATTGGATTTGGCCCTCCTGAGACTCCCAATGTAATCACTGCTCCCATGCCAAATCATTGAGAGTGTCCAGTTCATTTTGAATTTTCAATTGTAATTTCTATTGTTTGTTCGAACACTTATATGTTATGTCAAACTTTGTTTTCATTAATGCATTGCATATGTTTGTCTTGATTTAATCCATTCATTTCCATTATATTTAAACTGTGCTTTTTTATTATCTTTTTGTGATATTCAACTCTCGTTAAAAGTTGCAAGCCTTTAGAGGGAGGATGACGAAAACAATACCATAATCTTACACAGTATGCTTTTGGACAGACCTTGCTGATGATGTACAGGCGTTCTTTTAATTTCTAAATAGTGGAGTTATAAGGAAGATAATCCCTAGTCAACCCCTTTGATCCAAATAAATAGGAGTTTTCTGTTTCACACAAATTGAAACCTTTAATCATAACCCGGGGCAGGGTAGTTTTCTCAGCTAATTCAAATGTGCGTTCAGTCGCAAGCTTTCACTTCGTACACAACGAACGACATCAAAAACATCCTTTTGAATCAAAAGAGGATGATGGTTCCCCGTAAAATAGGAAGTCATTAGCTCTAAAAAGAAAAGCCCACTAAGTCAAAACCTACGAAGGAGACTTAAGAAAAACTGGGGCATCCCGCTAACTGTAGTCTCAAAACAAAAACAGTCAAGAAAAATTAGGGACAATAAATCAAAAAAAGAAGAGGTCTCTATATATCCTTGACAGCAGAAAAACATTGCAAAAATCACTGCCTTCATAAATAAGCTTAATTTATCCGAACCATCACCAAAATATCATTCCAGATTCAATAGGAGTTCAAACGCATAATTAACTGAGTTTAAGACTGTAGAACATCATGAAGAACGAGTGGGTACATATAAACTTTGAGCCTTATCCTTTGTTTCTTAAACTGTGAACCAGACCACGTTGCAACCCCTTAAAATTCCTAATTGAAGCATGGGTTAGTTCGAAAGAATACTGTTACAAAAGGTATCCTGACTCCTGTAAGGTCTACTATAAATCCTGAGTTGATATCACATTCTTGCAAATTTTGTTTGCCAAAAATAAAATTTCAAAAATTTCAAGACAAACATAAACTTTGCATTATTTGAATATCGCTGTTTTCATATGGCTAATTGTTTGACAATAGAGAAATTCGCATGGTGAATATCCGATGAATGGAAACTCTCTCAGTAAACAGAATCACTTCAAAGGGAAAGACGCTCCCAATGACAAATTTCCCATAATCAAGGGGCATGACATGTTACTGTCCAACTCGTCTGGGGAAGTCAAGTCAAGATTCTAAGAAACCTCTCATAAAGTTCTGAATAGCCAGGGGCAGGTCTTCATCTGAATCACTTGGGGCATTGATCATGAATTCCAGCAAAAGGGTCACGTACGACCAAGCAAACATTTTTTGTTAATGCTACAACACTTACTATTATGGACAGTGACAAATCCTCACGAAGTCCCTTTCATAAGGTGATCCCCAGTAAAGTCACCAGAGCCACCTCTATAAGGTTATCCCCAAATACTTAGATTCATGCAATCCCCAGTCAGAGTTTCAATCTCCGGAAAACGCAACCCTCAACCAAGATGGTCTTAAAGGAAAACGCCTTGTGGAATTCTGCCTAAAGAAGTCACCTCCTCAGCAGGTCGTCAAAATACTTTCTTCAACAGGGTTCATTTCCCCAACAAACTACAAATTACCCAGCTTGAGTTTACCTCTCAAACTATTACAAATCAATAGACAAAACCCCTTAGCCTCCAGTTAAGTCATTACAACCCCCAACGGGTTCGTTACTATCTCCAAAAGTTTCTATGAAACCTGGACCCGACCAGATAATAGTCAAAACTCCTCTTCCCCAGTAGAGTTTTCCACTATCCCCAGTGAGTTGCTGCAAAGCCTAGATCCGACTAGATAACAGTCAACCTCATTATCCCTAGCAAGTTACTACAAAACCTGGACCAGACCAGATAACAATTCAACTTCATACTTTCAAGAAAATTACTGGAAGATTGGACCCAACCAGGTAACAGTTAATTTCATCTTCCCTAGTGAGTTACTGCAAAACCTGGACCCGACCAGATAACAGTTAAACTCAAGCTCAAATGGCTGAAACCTGGACCCGACCAGCTAACAGTTAACTTTAATATCCCCAACAAGTTGTTAACTTCCATTCTCTCCAATCAAGAGATCACTCCCCAGTAGAGCAACGAACAACTAAAACTTCTGAACTCTTTTCCCCAAGCAGAAATCAACACTCTCCAGAGAGTTTCCCTCAAAGCAAAATCAATGTCCCCCATTGGATTTCTCCTCAAACAACAAAAACAGGAATCCCCAATGGAAACATTCTAAACAAAGTTTGAAGATACACATACTCTTCAACAACAGTCCAAGATTTAACTTCCCAAAGCTCTCCAGCGTTTGTCAAGGATTTATTTTCCAAGAAAAAGGTACACTTCAACAATATTTCACATTCATACATCATATTATATACATGGCAAATGCATACAACACAGCCTCATTTTTGAGAACATCATTACACAATTCATTTCATACATCATGACATTGCTTATAGCTAACTCTTTACCTTTTCAGGAAAGATTAATCAACTAATAGTTATCATCAACAATTTTCAAGAGGTCCAAGATTAGTTCTTGAAACAAGACAAGGCAACTATCTACAGACCAGATGAAGCAATCTTACATGGATTCTTTCTCATAATTTCCAGATGTAGCCTCACACGGGCTCATCAAGAAGCAATCTTACACGGGTTCCTTCTAATTTCCAGATGCATCTGCACACGGGCTCATCAAGAAGCAGTCTTACACGGGTTCCTTCTAACTTCCAAATGCAGCTCCACACGGGCTCATCCTGAAGAAATCTTACACGGATTCCTTCTCACAATTTCCAGATGTAGCTTTACACGGGCTTATCCTGAAGCAATCTTACACGGATTCCTTCTAACTTCCAGATGCAGCTTCACACAGGCTCATCCTGAAGCAATATTACACGGATTCCTTCTCATAATTTCCAGACCTAGCTTTACACGGGCTCATCCTGAAGCAATATTATACGGGTTCCTTCTCATATCTCCAGACACAGCTTTACACGGGCTCATCCTGAAGCAATCTTACACGGGTTCCTTCTCACAATTTCCAAACGTAGCTTTACACAAGCTCATCCTGAAGCAATCTTACACAGGTTCCTTCTCATATCTTCGGGTGCAACTTTACACGGGCTCATCCTAAAATAATCTTACACTGGTTCCTTCTCACAATTTCCAGATGTAGCTTCACACGGGCTCATCCTGAAGCAATCTTACACAGGTTCCTTCTCATATCTCCAGATGCAGCTTTACACGGGCTCATCCTGAAACAATCTTACAGGGACTCCTTCTCACAATTTCTAGATATAGCTTTACACGGGCTCATCCTGAAGCAATCTTACACGGGTTCCTTCTCATATCTCCAGATGCAGTTTCACACGGACTCATCCAGAAACAGCCCTACACAGGCTCATTCTCGTACATTTCCAAATTCAGCTTTACACGAACTCATCTTGAAACAATCTTACACGGGCTCTTTCTCATAATATTCAGAAGTGATCTTACACAAACTCCTTATCATTCTGATACAATCTTACATGGATTCCTCCTTATAATTTCCAGATGCAGTTTCACACAGACTCATCCCGAAGCAGCCCTACACAAGCTCATTCTCGTACATTTCCAGATGCAGTTTCACATTGACTCATCCCGAAACAGCCCTACACAGGCTCATTCTCGTACATTTCTAGATGCAGTTTCACACGAGTTCATCCTGAAGCAATCTTATATAGATTCCTTCTAATACATTTTCTAGACACGGCTTAACACATGTCTACTCCAACATATCATTAAGATTAAATCGACCAAAGATTTATTCTGATACTTCTTCCAATTTCTACCAACAATCATTTTGGATGGCATCTATAAACCAATATCTGACAACTCTTCATCCCTTCTCCAAATTGAATCTTTAAGCCCATTCCCAATACAATTAATACATCATCGAGTGCAAATTTCTGGACACTCACTACAAGAAAATTAGTGTTTAACGACACAAAAATTGCGACAGTTATGTGATAACTGTCGTAATTGACATATAGAGACAGTGTTTACGACGGTAAAACAACCGTCGGCCCCCATTTAACACTTTTAACATTGATTTTTCACCAACAACTAGTCACGACGGTAAAATTAACCGTCCTAAAAGGCATATCACGACGGTAAAGCACCCGTCGCACCTTTAAACCTTTCACGACGGTAAAATTATCCGTCCTAAAATTCATTTCACGACGGTAAAACAACCGTCGCACCCAAAACCTTTAAAAATTCTCATGGTCCCGACGGTAAAACACCCGTCGCCGTAAAAAAGTTAAAAAGCTCTTAAAAAGCTCTTATTCATTTCATTATTCTTGTTACAATTTTATTTTTACAGTGAACCCTTCATCTCTCTCCCGCGCAGCCTCTCACCCCCCAACCTTCAAACCCAGTTCTCTCTCAATCAAAACCCAACCACCAAAAACAAACAAAAAGCTAAACATCTTACCCCTTTCGCGATTGCTTTATGACTTTCTGTCCGATTTGTTCTGATCTTCTTTCTCTCTTGCTTTGTAGATTCTGGCGAGTTCGAATGGAATAGCGGCGGCGAAGCTACGGTGATTAGCAATTAGGGTTTTAGATGTTTAAATCCTAATTGCTCTTTCTCTTTTCGTCTTCAACGACAACGCTGGTATCTCCTTCTTCGCGTTCTTCAAGTTCTCTGTGTTGGTGTAGATAAGAGTTCTTCTTTGAGATTCTTGGATTTTTCTTCCAATGATTTTGACGGTGCTATTCAGACTGGTTTAGGTGCATGTTCTAAGCTTGTGAGATTTAGAGCAGGTTTCAATCTACTATCAGGGAATATCCCAATTGATGTTTATGATGTTGTTTCACTCATTGAAATATCATTGCCATTGAATAAAATTGATGGAACAATTGGTGATGGAATTGTTAATCTTGCAAATCTCACAGTTTTGGAGCTTTACTCCAATCAGTTGACAGGTTCTATTCCTAAGGATATTGGTAAGCTTTTGAAATTGGAAAAATTGCTTCTTCATGTCAACAATTTGACTGGTACGATTCCACCGTCTTTGATGAATTGTAACAATCTCGTTCTGTTGAATTTGAGGGTTAATAGATTGGAAGGAAATCTATCGGCATTCAATTTCTCCGGATTGGTCAGGCTTGCTACGCTTGATCTTGGTAACAATAGGTTTACTGGTGTGTTACCGCCGACTCTTTATGATTGTAAGTCGCTTGCTGCATTGAGGCTTGCGTCTAATCAGATTGAGGGACAGGTTTCGTTTGAGATACTTGGACTCGAGTCTCTCTCGTTCTTGTCGATTTCTGATAACAAGCTGAAGAATATCACTGGTGCTCTTAGAATACTCACTGGTCTCAAGAAGCTTAGTACCCTTATGCTCTCCAAGAATTTTTACTATGAAGTGAAGCTTAGTACCTGGTCGCAAGTTCTCTGTTTTCTCTCCCTCTGTATTTCAGATGCTGAAGTTGTTCTCATGTCAGAAGAAGTTGTTTCTCATGCCCTTGAAACCATTATTGAAGAAGAACATGTTGCACCAAAAGTTGAAAAAGTTAATGACACAGGTATACCTCTGAACCTTGTCTATAATAATGTCTTAGATTCTTCCAACTCATGTATGATGAGAATGTCTCTAAAACTCACCCCACCTCAATCTGTAAATTCACCAGAATAGACACCCTCACTCAAACTTGATAAGAACCTACATACATATTTTGTCATGCTCTCTCCTAAACCAACCTCAAGATCAAAATACCTTGCTTCAGATTCTCATAATTATCCCAAAGAATATAAGGAACTATCAAGTCACCTAGTTTATGAGTTACCTAATGAGAAGAACCAGTTGGCATGTATTTCTGATTATGAATGCCAAAATCCCATGAACATTGTGGTTGAATGGGCTTAGAGTTTAACCATATCTGTGTTTTGTAGGCTCTGTTGCGGTGCTACTTTTATGTTTGCTGTCTGTAAGGTAAAATCACTTTTGCTATGCTTGTTTTGCTTGGAATTCCGGTATGCCATGACGGTTCACGGTTTAATCCGTCTAGTTAGGTTTTTAAAACACTGCTATTAATAGCACTTTCAAGTAGTAACTTTTTTTCTTTTTGTCTTCACAGATACATCTAGCCATTATGGTCTAGATTCAGGATTCTACATGTCATCTTTTACAGCAATAATTTTCGTTGTTTCCCTTGTCACTCTTGGAGTTTTACTTATTACTTTGCTGGTTTCTTTGGTGATTATGCTGCAATCATGTCAAAGTAAAAGTACTGGAGTTATTGAACTTGTGAATATGAATAATTACTACAGTTATTGCAGGGTGTATTCTCTGCATGCTGAGATCAATAGGTTAGAGAGATATGATCTTCCAAACATATGTAGAGATCTGACTATACATTATATCAAAGGAGGGCATTATGCCAAAGAGTTGAATTTAATTGTGTCTATGATCGATGATTACTTCAAGAATCTGAGACCTTCAGACAATGGTTTGGATGTGGTGTTGTTGGATATAGATGATATTGTTCCTCCAAATTCGTATCAGAGGTGATAACATATTAGTGACTTGTTGCACTAACTTGCATAATTCTGGCTACTTCATAGCATTATTTGTAGTTCCACCAACTTGATGGCATTCTTCATTATTTTGGTGCAGGTTTCATAGGGACGGCATTAGCAACTGTGTCAAAGAGGCAAAACATGTAAAGCTCATGTTTGTTTTAAGATTATACATGAACCTTCAAACTGATGGGTGGCCTATAATTTTGGTATCAAGAGAACCTGAAACGTACCAAAATGTCACCATTAATCATCTTGTTTCTACAGGATTTAGAGGTTGGTCTTCCTTGATGATGAGGTATAGTGACTATCTTCCTTTTATATCTCTAATTGCTTTAGACTTGCTTACAAACTTAGATTTAGCTTTACCAAAAGCATGATCCAATAACTGAATCTTATGATCTTATATTGTCAATGATCTGCACTTTTCCAGAACAGAAGATTCAGAGTCTACTAAAGGAAATGAGTACTTTTCTAGGTAAAATCACTTTTGCTATGCTTGTTTTGCTTGGAATTTGTTGTTTTTCTATTCCCTTCACTCTCTTTCAATATTCAAAGATACCCTAATGGATTTTACTATATAATTTGTATTTTTCTAAATTATGCACTGTTATTAATCACCTACTGCACTGTTATTCCCTTAACTCTCTTTCAATATTCAAAGATACCCTAATGGATTCTTCTGTTTGTGATGCTGAACTTCCTGGACTTTTAGCCTTTTTGATGCAAGGTAACCATTTACATGCATAAACATGCAACGCTTCTCCGATAAGCTGCGGGGGAAGCACATGTGTTGATCTAATAGTCATTATTATGCATCTGAAAAGATCTATGTTTAGAATGGATATATCCTCAGTCCACCAATCCTTTGGAACAGAATGGTGCTCTTTTCTGTTGTAACCAGGCCTAGTGTAAGTGTAAGACCATTTGACCTGTACATAATCAATGCATGAGACCAAGACGGTATCAAATATTATGCTAAGGAAGTTTTCGGTCTTGATTATTTTTTACCTGTGATAGAGGTGTAAGAACTTTTTCAATAATCGAATCAATGCATTTTCTTATTATGCCAAGATTCTCAGACCACTCTGGTAACTTCTCGGTGGCCTGCAGTGTTGAAACGGAGTCTTTCCAGCCTTCAAGAATGCAAGAACGGAAGAAAGACTCAAGTTTACCTACAAAGTTTCCCCTCTCAATGGTTTCATTCATTTGGAGGAGCTTAGCAGCACAGAGTGAAGGTACAAAATTATGAGCACTAATGTTGATTGAAACTCCATAGCAGAACTTAGCACAGAGTTCAAAAGCTTCTGCTCCACCAGGCATATCATGAAGCTCTAGAGGAACACTCTCAGAATCACTAATATCAGAACCAAGTCTTAGTAAAAGGCCACATTTCGAAAGAAGCGGAGACTGCAACCAACAAAAGTAGAATTATACACTAACCAATTTTTTGTGTGCGTATGTAGAAATAGAAGACAAACGAGCAACAATACCTTGTGTAGCAGATAAGTTGTATCATTGATTTTTATCACAAGGTCAGGAGGTATATCTGAAACTAGACTCCTGCATTCATGATTAAGATAACAAACTCATATCAAGTTTCCTATACTTATATCTTGACAACAAAATCATGTTGCAGAATATATAAAGAACTTGGTCTAATTTTAGGCCAGACAGACATGAATACCTGGTAGCTTGTTCGGTGTAGAAAGAGTCCGACCGAGTTCCAAGTTTCATGAACTTCATAGCTATTTGTTGTGATCTACTTCAGAACCTGCATAAATTCTAAAGAGTGGTAATTTTTTCCTCTTCATGCACTTAAAAGCAATTGAGGAAAGAAGCTGCATTATAGAATGTTACCTAAGTAGAACATGAAGTGAACTACATGATTTACCTTAACTAATGGTATCTAAGTAGAGCATAGATAGTTAAGACTATTTTTCTAAATTATGCTTTCGTATCCATCAGGTGCCAAACATGTCAAATGTTCATGCTGTCAAACGGTCAACATTGTGTTTGAAGGCAAGTTTACTTTCTCTTTGCTTCTTTTTATCTTGAACGTGTATTTTCTGTGAAACTTTGCACTTTAAGTTCAGCTTTTATGCACCTGGTTGATTAAATACTTTCATAAACAATTTCATGATGGGAAGAACAGTCCTGCTATTGGTAGTTGCGTGCTTGCTGCTGCAAATAATCTTGTGTAAAAAACATGATACGGCATGCATTATCGTTTTGTGTGGCAATCTATTTATATCATAGGTCATTTCTTCCCTGCAGCTGATCAGGTCGGGCAAGTTAAGTGTGGGAGTTGTACGCTATTGCTAATGTATCCATATGGCGCTTCACAGGTCAGGTGTTCATCATGCCGGTTTGTGACAGAAATCGGGGTATGTTAACTGATGTTATTCACTAATTTCCTTTTTGATGTGGTTTTCTGAATAAAGTTTGAAGCACAATATAAACTGTGCAATCAAAGGCAAACTGTTGTTTCCATTTAAATGATCACATTCTCATGCAGGCAAACAACAAGCGGCCTCCCTGGTCTGTAAGATAGTAGAAGAAAATATATTGGCCGAGTGAGGTGCGCAACTGCAGTTCCTGGAACTAGAGAGAGGATGGAGATGGAGAGGAAAGAGAGGGTAAGAAAAGCTGAGGCGTTGGTTGAGAAAGCAATGAAAGGGAATGATGCTTCTCACGATGCAGTGCATGTTTGGAGGGTTCGTGACCTTGCTCTCTCCCTTGCCTCTGAGGAAGGCCTCTCTTCTGATGTTTAAGGACAATTACCTCAACTTATACACAACTGATGTGGATACTACAGGTTGGATACACACCAAGTGTGGCTTTCCAAGCATGGAAGAAAGCATATTAGATCAGTTGAATGAAGAGTTGAAAGAGAAAATAAAGAATGATGTTTATGACATGCTTCTATATGAAGACATTTCTATCGTCTATATTTATCAGGAATTGAAAAAGTGTGTCGACGTGCTTCTATATGAAGAATGTCCTCAATTTATGTATCATACATATCTAAAGAACTTGAGACGCCTTGATACATATCCAAATTTGATTAGGTTTCTCCTTAGCGGAAAGTGAATTTTATTTTATTGGAGATTTTGTTGTAGTTGATTTTTCTGTACCTTATAACTTTTCATACAATTGGAGTTTGATGATATTTGAATTTTTCTTGTTTATTGGTAAAATTTGCACTTCTTTTTACCTTTGATCACATTTTTTTGATATTATTGATGATTATTTGATATTAAATGTTTTTATTGTAATTAACTTTATTATGTTGAAAAGTGATAGAAAATAAAATAAAAATACTATAAATAAAAAAATATTAAAGTAAATAATAATTTAAATATAATAGTAAAATATTATAGTAAAATAATATTATATTTAAAATTATTTTACTAAATAATAATTTAAATAAAAATATTATTTGAAATTTATAAATCAGATTACGACGGTTAAAACCGCCGCAATTTCTAACCTACGGCGGTAGAATAACCGTCGCAAACAACAACAAAAACAAAAAATAAAGTCAAATTCACGACGGTATATAACCGTCGCTATCTGTTGTGCGTGACAGTTTTGCAACCGTCGCGAAATAGGCTGGGGACGCACGATTCTGCGACGGTACTTCTACCGTCGTAGATTGTAAATTGCGACGGTTTTAACCGTCGTAATCAGCCAAAATAACCGTCCCAATCTATCATTTTTCTTGTAGTGACTCTAGTGTTCAATCATCTTTCACCTTCAAGTCACGAATGGTAGACTCGCCAATCTAACTCTTCGGGTTTAAGAAGATTGAACAGGGGCAACTGTTGTACCCCAAAATTTTCCCTCTCATTTCTCAAGATATTTCCTACAAAGATCATTAATGATTCTGGCTTGCACAAGTATCGACTAGGTCAAGCCATCTCCTCAGTGCTGATTAGGGTTTAAATTTACACAGGGACAGTTGGACTCCTAATACTTCAAATAACATTCATGGACCATTATGGATCCTCTGGATTACTCCTGTCAACTTTCGAGTCTTAGATCACAAAATCCCTCCGTCAATTGATCAGATGGCCTAAAAATAGTTGTATTGGAAAAAAAGTCAACTCTACACTGAAAAGTCAAATTTTGACTTTTGATCAAATTTTAGTTTCAAAAATAATATTTTGTCAAGACATTCAAAAAAAGAAATTTGATCATCAAAAATTAAGAAAGTTAAACGTCATTTTGGAAAGACAAAATTTACAAGACTTAGAAATTTTTCTAAGTGTTTGTATACTTGTTAAATTCATTGTTTCATGACATATTTTCACTATAATTCAAATAATTTAAGGTGTTGCAAATAATTCAAGTTATTACAAGGTTTCATTTTTGCAAGATTACAAATCCTATGTTTTTGTCTTGTTTAATTTTTCCCTTTGACTCAATGTCCAAACCTTGCCACTTTGCTGTCCACAAAACAAACTTGTGTCATGCTACAAACAATGTTGTCCAAACTACTAATGAACAAAGCCATATATGCTGCCAAGTCCAAGCCTGCTGTACTGTCCACATAACAACCCAAAAGCATGTCAAAAATAGTCGGTTGTACTGCTATGAAACAGCCATGCACCAAGCAGCCACAACACTCCAAAACTACTACAAAAACAGCCCTGTTATGCTACTACCAACCCAGCCCAAGCCTACTGCTGTACCCCAAAATTTTCCCTCCCATATTTCTCAAGACATGTCAAGAATCATCTCCAAGTTGTTCAAGATGGCTCAAGAGTTGGATAGTCAAATCATCTTCTAAGGCAGTCAACCTCAAATTAGGGTTTTGTGTTTCATCAAGGTCCTTACATCCAAATGACATAAAGTGATTCCCAATGTCCTAATATGTTATTAAGTTCATCCATGTCAAATTTCAAGCCTTGCAGAGGAAGTTTGGTCAGTCAATTGCTCAAGAAGTCCAAAAATCGATTGTGCTAGGGCAAAAGTCAACTGTGACCTATGACCAGTCAAACTTCAAGATTTTTTGTCAACATTATCATTTTGAAGGATAATTCATCATTTGATCAAGGGTTGATCATGATTCATCAAGGATTGCTCAAGATTCATCAAGATTCAAAAGTTGCTAAAGTAGGGTTTTGTAGGAAAAGTCAACTCAACTTTGACCAAGCATAACTTTCTCATATTTTATGAGAAATGACCCATCCAAAGCTAATTTTGAAGAGGATGCAATTTCCTACAATCCATCTTCACACCCCAAGATCAAGAAATGCTCTCACAAAAATTTACAAATTTGGACATTATAGGTCATTTTTGAAAGTCAACAAAAACACCTTTTTTGCCAAAGCTTATAACTTGAGCATGGAATATCAAAATTCAATGAGACCAAAAGTGTTGGTTAGAGTACATCTCAAGGTTTCTAAAAAGTCCAATAATACCTCCAAACGTTCAAAATTGAAGAAGTTATGCATTGTTGAAGTAGGGCATTTTT